TCTTTCTTTCTTTCTTTCTTTTCCTTCCTTCCTTCCTTCCTTCCTTCCTTCCTTCCTTCCTTCCTTCCTTCCTTCCTTCCTTCCTTCCTTCCTTCCTTTCTCTCTCTCTCTCTTCTCTTTCTCTGAGTTTAGTTTGTATTAGTTTTTACTTTTGTAATTAGAATTCTTAATAAAAAATTATATTAAAAAGCAGTTAAAATAGAACTTCTAAATCACCTCCCAACGTTTCATACAAAAATAATTCTAGGTTTGATGCTGCATGGAACTACACAGTCAAACAGCCCAATCTTGTGGACTCTTATCTGACAATGGAATAATGGCATTGGACCTCATTAGAGGAAAGCACACATTAATAACCAATGTGCATTCCTGCTGGGTCTAATACATGCCTGATCCCACAATCTACTCTGCTTAGAACAACTTGGATTTTACTAAATGCAAGTTGAGAAGAAGAGGAAACACAAATGGCTTCTGCTTCCTGTTCTATGCACTTCTTTGCCCTCTCGTGTCAGAATTAACTTATCTAATATACCTTTCACATAATTAGATGTTTATTATAAGGATCTGAGAACAGAAATCATTAAGACATTTCATAGGTGCTGTGTGTGTGTGTGTGTTCAGCGGTAACCTTTGTTAATGTTTCACTTCAAGTTGTTTTTGAAACTTATAATTAATCTGATGTAACTATGTGCATGATCCATAGTTGATTAAAAGAGAAATAATAGTGTTTCTCTGAAAAATTTTGTAATGTTCATGCAATTTAGCATGATAACTTGAATTCATTCAAGTTCCTTTTAAGTTTCTTCTTTTTAAAAACAAAGGTTTTAGCTGGGGATAAAATGTGATAATAGCATTGATATGCGTTCAGTTGACCAGAGCACTGTTTCATATCCTTGTGCAAATGTTTCAGTGAAAAGCAGGAACATGTCCCCAAGGTAAACTCCAAATACTTTATCTTCTCTTCTCATTTCAATAAAATTTCTCCCCCAGATACCACATTTTGTTGAAAACAGAGAAGTATTATTTGTATTGAAACGAGAAGTTCATAGAGGAAACAGTGAAAACGCCAAGGCCTGATTAGCAAAATGATCCTTAGATACCTCTGTAAAGGACCTCTAAAGTATTGCAGTTAGGTCTTCTGTACAAATCCAATAGTCTTGTATCCAAACCTCCAACATACTTATATAATTATGCCTCTATGCATTGTTTGCTTAATACCAAAAAACTATTATACACTGTTAATTTTCTTAATTATCTGTAAAGCTAATTACAGATGAATTACAATATGCTTTCAAAAAATATTCCTTTTGGGGATGACTCAGACTGGGCATTTATTGTGTCACTGCCTGCACAATGAAGGGGATGTTATCTGGGGCTACCCTTCACTTGGTTTTCTACTTGTAAAAATCCTATGTTTTCCCATTGCTTATTCTACTTCCTTTTAGATGCGATCTGTCCTTTGGTATAAAATGCTTGTGTTTTTATTGATTATAGGAAGAGGTAAACATGCAGTAAAAGCTGCTTCCTTCATAATTGCTTTGGCTAGCAAAACTGATTTTGCCTGTTGATTTGTCACAATTATTAAAAAGTAGGGAAGAAAATAATAACAAATCATAGATTAAACACTGAAGAACGTTGTTCTAATCATTGCTGACAACTTTAATGCAAAAGTTGGAGAGCAACTTGTACTGAAAACTGTTGAAAACTATGGGCTAGAAACCTGCAATGATCCAGGACGATGGCCGAGTAGACTTCTGTGTAGAAAATGGTCTGTTTGTTGCTAACACGTTGTTTCAACAACCCATATGACAACTCTAAACATGGACATTTTCAAATGGACAACACTGTAATCAAACAGATTACATTTTACATATCAACAGATGGAAACTTGTCTACTGACTTGCAAAAGATAGCCAAGTATTGACTTAGGACAGACCTTCAGCTATTAATTACAGAAATATACATCAGACTGAAAAAGACTATAAAGGATCCAATTACAATAAGATACAACCTCAAAACACATTCCTGAAGAATATCAGGTTGACTTTAGAAAACATTCAAAGACCTAGACCTTGTGAATCAAAAACCTGAGGAACTGTGGAAAGAAATTAAAATGATTGTAAAAGAGGAAACCACAATGCACATAACAAGAATCATAAGCAAATGAAGGACACGCTAGCTATCAAACAAAGCCATAGAAATAGTTAAGGAAAGAAGACTGACAAAAGTCAGAGGAGATCTTAGGGAAACTAGAAAGTTTATCGCAAACTTCCAATAGTAAGTGAGAAAAGACAAAGAAGTATATCTGGACTTGGACTGCAGACACAGAATAAATGAGAAGAACAAAAGATCTATTTAGAAAAATTAGAGAAATTGGTGTTAATGTGATTAGGAACAAACATAGAAAGGATTTAATGATGGAACATAATTTTTAAAAAGTTAAATAATAATGCTAAGATGTTAACAAAAGATGGAATACACGGAAAACCTGTTGGTCTTCCTGTGCAGAAAACCTGTACAAGACGACCAGCTCAGATGAGCCTGTATTTGAGAAAGAATTTGAGGATGGATCAATGATGCTTAGAGAGGAAGTCAGATGCGCTATAAAAGAAACTGGCAAATAGGAAAACCCTGGCATGCATGAAATCTCCATAGAACTCTTAAAGGCCAGTATAAACGCTGTAAATATCTTGATAGTTCTCTGCCGACAAATATGGAAAAAGACAGCATGGTTTAAAGACTGAAAAAGGTCTGTATAATCCAGTCCCTAGAAACAGATGTTTAAAGGAATGTTCTAATTAAAGGACAATGTCATACAATTACAGTCTAATTACAGCCCTAGTATCACATTCCAGATACTGTTGAAAATCCTTCAGATGAAATTAGTGCCCTATAAGGAGAAAGAAGTGGCAATTGAACATACAAGCTCCAGAAAGAACAGGGAAACATGAGGTTGCATACGTAATATTGATGGAAACGGCAAGAGAAAATCAAAAAGGGCTCTACTTTGGCTTTATAGATTACTCCAAAGTTTTTGGTGGTATGGACCATTCAAAACTTAGGAAATATTTCAGAGCAATGGTACATCCCAGGATTCGATCCTCCTGATAAGAGATTTCTAAAATAACCAACAGTGCATGAGGTGGATAAGTAGAGTATGGGAAACAACAGGAATGCACCTGCAGGAATTGCATAACGCAGGGAGAGAGCTTTTATCTGTAGGATCACAGGAACTGGCCAAGATTTAATGGAACACAACAAAAAGAGGGAAACATGCAATGTAAGCAACTTCCTCAATTTTTGCTTCTTTTAGCACACCCATTGATTTGTCACAGCTGCTAAAAAGTACTGTATGGAAGAAAATACAGTAATGCCAACTCATGGCCTTGGAGAGAGCAGCCTTCCTAATTTGCTTAGGCCACTTAACTGGAAAATAGTGATAGTGGGAAATTTCTGCCACTATCAATCTATTTTTTTTATTTGCCTTATCAATACTTAAATCTTTGAAAAATCAAGATGGTACCTTCAAGTTCTGGGAGGACTGCATACCAAGGACAGAACAAGAGATCTCCTTAGGACACAGTGAACATACGTCCTTTATTATAAAACATCGTCCTTTATTTCAGAAAGCTGTCCTTCAGATTTGTTTATTTTCTTGGTTTTGCACTTGAATTTTCCTTTGTCAAGCAAAGTTATAAACACAAACCATTTTTGCTTTTATCCTTATGAATCTCTTTCAGAAGTGCCCCTTTTTTAGGTTTGTCTTTTATTTTTTCAAAAAAATATGGTCACCTTATGAGCATGTAAGATTCCTGAAATCAGAGCAAGAGAGACGGGCTGACTAGGACCAAGCAGATGACTCCGTAAACGGGGATTTCAATTCAGCTCTAGGATTCCTAACTTTTGATATGGGATGCATCGTTTGCGGACGAGCATCTTCAGCTCCAGTCCAATGTTAAAAGTTTATCCCCTTGTTGTTTTTTTCTGGAGTTAAGCTGCTAAAAGTACACAGGCCCGGTCCGGAATCTTCCTCTGCCTCTTGGTGTAGGTAAACTGGCAATCCTAGCTCCTCGCTAAAGGAACCCTATGGCGAGGCTGCTGCCTTTCCATCCCGACCCTGGGCTAAGCGTCCGTCCGTCGCAGCAGCCCTGGCCGAGGCCCAGGGAAAAGGTTCCTCCAGCCCCCGCGGAGCTTCCTGCTTCCCACAAGGTGCCGAACAAACCGCTTCTCTGCGGCAGGAACTGAGAGAGATAGAGGAGAGGCCGGGAGGGAGGTGCTGCTTTTGCGGACGCCGTCACGCCGGGCCGAGGAAGCGAAACAGCGAGGCGCGGGCCACCCTCGGTGAAGACGCCTGGGAGCAGCACGCGCCCCGACCTGCTGCCCTTGGGACGCGGGGAGGAAGAGCGAGCGAGCGAGCGAGGAGTTGCCGCGTCCCTTCCCTCTGTCCTCTTTTCCCGCCCAGGCCGGGCTGGCGCCTGCCTTTTCCCTTCAGGGGGTGCCGCCGCCTCCTGGGACCCCCACCCCGAGATGTGACCATGGACTGCAGGATCAAGTAAGGGGGTCAGTGGAAGCGGGGCGGCAGGGCGAAGCCGGGTGGACGAAGAGGAAAGGCAGCCCCCGGCCGCCGCGGAGAGAGCGAGGGGCGGCGTCAGGCTAGGCCTCAAAACCCCAGCCCCACTTTGCATGTGCGCGGCTGCGGAGGAGGAGGCCGGCCGGGGCGCGAGAGTTGAGGTCAGCAGGAAAAGGGGGAGAAGGGAGTGGAGCCCCCATGCCCGCTGCTGGCGCGCGTCTGTCGGGGGCTGCAATCCCAAGCGCGCTCCGCGGGGAGGAATCCATGGCAAGCAGTTGGGCTTGCATAGGTGGGATCCGCCGGCTAGCGCAAGCTTGCTTTCTCTTTCGGAAAAACCAGCTTATCCCCAAAGCAACTCTTCCTGTCTTTCCTCCCCCTCCCCTCCTCCCCTCCCCCCTGTCGCGGAATGAAATCTGACAGTATTTTTTTGAATGGCCGACCGTAATACCTGCATTCCTCCGTCCCTGGTCTGCCTTTGCTTGGCTCTGCCTTGCCCTGCTTATGTTCTTGGTCAGTACTTGACACATACCCTCAGCAAGTGACAGTGCAGTTATCCCTATTGGGTAAAGCTCGGACAGCACATTTTTGCAGAACGAAGTCTTATAAGAAACACAATAGGCCGAGCCTGGGATTTACTGATGGGTTGGCAACCTACAGCCCGCCTGAACAACTTCTTTATCCCCGTTTCTAGTGCAAGGTCTCAGCCTCATTATAAGCACGTGGCACACAACCTGCACTTGGGTATCTTAAAATGTCATCCCCCCCTTTCCCCAATTTATAGGTTTTGAAGAGAAAACAGTACTATACTGTATGGCAGGTAAAGATTTGACAGGAGCACCAAAGCCTCTTGCATTTCTAGAAAGATAGCATATGTGGCAATGGTGGGCAGGAAGATGTTAAAATTGGCAAGGAAATTCATATGACTGAGGGAAATGTGAGTAGAATGATGCCACAGAATGCATAGATATGAATAATTTCTGTTTTTAATAATTTCCACAGTGGGTTGGGAAAAAAAAAAGCACCTTTTGAATGTATATGACAATTCCAAGGATTTTTTTTTTCAGAGTGAAAAATGAATGAACTCTTCCCACCTGGTGCTTGCAGTTGAAATCTTGACCTTGCAAGCCTTGCTAAACTTTGTATTCTGAACTGGTTTTAATGGTTTTACAAACTGACAATGATCTGTTCATGGCGAGCCAGCTGGAATAGACACAAAAGCCCATGCCCAACATGCATTGCTGTGGTTTGATATTTTATGGTGTAAAGTGACCAAGAAAATTTGAAAGGCCTTTTCTGTGGAAGCCAGCAAGCAGTTATACTGAAAACAGAAATATTGACCTGTGAGATGTTTATCTAGTTTCTGAGTCAAGAAGTTGTGGTTATAGTTGGAGAACCTGTTATCATAGAAGTTTTCTTTTCAGTCATTGTGGGTACTTCTGGAGTTAGAAACAGAGTCAACTACATGAGCCAATGCAACAGAGAGCTCAGTTGCAAGTCCTATTATAGCTGCAATCCTGTGTACAGTTACTAAGGAATAAGTTAGTCTCACAGAAGAAATAATTTCTGATTGAGCATGCATAGGATTACATTGTGTAAAGAAGCATAACATCTCATCTAGAAATTGTATGTGGTTGATTTTTTAAGGGTAGAAGACCCATGAGTGTGAATTTGGTTAACAACAACAACAACAATAATAATAATATTTAATGACTTTTTAAATACATTGAATTTGTGTTCCATAGGACATATGTTTTTGGTTCCTTAAACAACGATGTACTTTAACTTTCTTCAATGTAGCACTTTCAGCTGCAGTTGCTCTTTAATATCTGCTACTTCTGGCCTTCAGTTTACATATTTATTATTCATTCTCGTGGTCAAGCAGTCACGTAACCAAGCAGAGGGTGACTTCTTGATTAGATGACTGTGGGTTTTTTGGGCGAGGGGATGCTCACACGTTCATTTGCATGAAACTTTAATAAATTGCAAGCTCAACTAATTATTGAAGATGAAGTTATAGTTTGCTTATTACTTCTCAGTTGTTGTTCTGTCTTAGATCACCCTTCCCCATTCTAGCACTTTTTAAGTGTTTTGGGAATAAATTCTCCTGAGTTGTTGGCTGGGAATTCTAGAAGTTGCAATTCCAACACAACTGGAAAGCATGATTCAGGGAAAGCTAATGTTAACAAAGTTCCATTACAGTTGATTGTAAAACAAAAAGCCATGCTAGTCCATAAAAGAGTTTCCTTAATTGTACATGTGAGCGCAACCCTTCCCTAAGCGACTAGGTGAGTGTAATTTAAAAATTGGAGTCCACTGGCAAAAAAAGTCTTTATCAAATGCAGTTTATTTCAGTTATACATAATCTCTTTGAGATAATATGTTATATTCTCTATGGCCAGTAATAAATAAATAAATATTAAAATTGCAACAGCAGTTGCTTTGAAAATTTATAGAGGATTATAATATGTATAGGAGTTGGGAGAGGTAATGAATAAAAAAAAAATTGCATGACATAAATAGGACGTACTGGAAATGTTGCAAGAATCACATTGTGATTCCATGGTCAAAGTTTCTCACTTTGTTATGAACCCAACTCCAAAATGATAGAATCCTTCATGTTACAGCTACAGAATTTGAAACAGATATTGAAAAAAGAACTGGCTGATATATAGGATTATAAAGGATATCAACAGATTACATGCATGTGTACGTTGAGTGTAGTTTTCTGTGATCAGTCATCTCTGTTTTGTATTTACTTTTAATTCCTAATGAAGGAAGGGAAGACAGTTATTTTTCTAAAGATGTAAAATGTTATTTCTGACTTGCAGTAGGCTGTAGTTTCACTCTTCAATTTCAGTGTCAATTCCTACTTCTATTTATGCTAGTTCAGCAGGATTCCCTTTGTCCTCCCCAGTCATTCAGTGCTGAGAGTTAGTAGAGCTGAATTAGCCATTACATAATCTAGTAAATTTCATCAGTCAACATTAAATAATGTTTGTTGATCTTGCATTGTAATGCAATTCTATATGTTTCAAGGACTGATAGAAAATAATAATTTTGTATTCTAAGGGACAAAATAATTATGAGTCATTACCATTGTGCAGTTATAACAGAGACAGTTCCTATGATTAGATTATTTAAATGTTTGTGACCAAGTAATGACTAGTCAGATATTTTGTTTTTATTTCCAGAGAAAATCCGGAGACTACCTTTGATTTGGTGATACAAGTAAAATGTCAGGCTTCTGAAAATGAAGGTAATGCACATACATTTATATTCTGCATATAAATTAGTTATGCAAAATGTAACAGGTTATTTTATATTTTTTAAAGTAGCTAGACTGAAGGAAGTATGCTTAATTGCTTTTTTATTACAGTTATTTTTAGTAATAAAACTATGTAATTATAGCTTACTACATTACATGTGTTTAACATACTACTACTATTATTAGCCATAGCAACAATAATAATTAATTAGAGACATACAGTTTGCTTTGAATTTGTGCTTTAACCTTTTTCAATTTGCACATTATAATGGATTTCATAAGTTGTGTTTTAGCAGTACATATAATTATGATATTTAAGCAGGAATCCTCTCTGGCTATGCACACATAAGCAGTTCTGCTGCTAGTTTAAATCATTCAGTTGCCATCCCTGTGTTTCTGTTTTAATAACAAGTTGAGAATTGTCGTGTTAGGAAGGAGAGATTCATGGAAAGTAGCAACATTATGCTTTCTCAACTTAGATCTGATAATCCTGTTTAAACACGACAGAAAAGAAATATTTTTCTCAAGGTGTCTCCCCAAATAAGCTTTTGTATCAGTTTCATCTGTTTTTTAAAGTTGGCTATGGAAAGAATACCTAACTGAGATGCATTTCAAAAACCTGGATCAGCTAAATTCAAGTATCCATGTTTTTTTGTGGGGCTTTACATTTGGGGCTATATTCCAAAAATTGGGTTGGGCCAGAACAAAGAAATGGATAAAACCAGAACATACATACATACATACATACATAAAAGTATAAATGCCAAATTAAATTATTCAAACTTAATAACACTAAAGACAATTCTATTCTTCCCATAAATTTAGTACTGTATCCTATCATATTAAAAGTTATAGTTTGGTGGCAGTTTCTGGAGTGGTTCTGAAGGCTGTATCGAGGTTTTGGGGACCACCTGGCTGCTGGGGCCTCCAGTTGAGCTAAAAGAAGCTGAATTTGGTATCCAGGCTCCAAGATGCTTTTAGCATTCCTGCAGTTTATTTCTTCAGAGAAATACCATTAAATAATAAGGAAACATTAGTTGTTATGCAATAAATTTAGACATTTGCATCTAAAATTATCATACCACCTGATTATTTTAAGTAAAAGTGTAGCATTGCATAGCCAACAGTGTTTTGCTTCAGGAGTAGAAAATATAGATACCCTCAGACAGGGTAAATGGGAGAATAACCACCACGCGTTAAAAGCATGGTATTCCATGTTTATATCCTCTGGAAAAGTACAAATATATTGTTATTCTGTTTTTATAACTTCTGTCTCAGTCCGAGATAAGATAAATCTTGGTACACGTTCTTCAATATTTACCAAGTATAGGCTTGGTAAATGTGGACTTAGTTTAGCTAGAATTTCAGCATGTGATAATAGATATGTCTAATTATTTCCTTTTAAAGGATAGCAAATACATGTGTAAAGCTATATATTGAAGCCTAATATATATTTGATGCAAGTTCCTAGCATCAAAAGTAGAATTAATTCTATAGAGTTTAGTCATGTAGAATATAACCATTTCTGAAATAAAAAGGGGCCAACAAGAATCAGGAATATATGGTGAATATAGCAAGTTTGTGCTGATTTCAGGGGGGGGGAATGTTTATTTGCTTTATGTATATGGTGCCGATTCCCAGAGGCTCTGAGCAGCTAAAAAACCAAGAGCATCAAAAAAAGCAAGAAGATAATAAAAAGCCCATCTAAAAATGGCACCCTCCCCACAATATCACAGTAATTTAAAAAAGCAAACACATAAAGTCTTGAGTCCATCAGTTCACTCTGAACAGTCACAACAGATGCTAGATAGAATAGCTATATAATTTAATTGTTCATGATTCATGCATGGGAATTGTGTGTATTAAAGTCTTTCCTGTCATAAATTACCAATATAGGAAAAGTTAGTTTGTCAGTGACAAAGCAGTGGTGCTGGTTTTTTATTAGGAAAAGATTTTTGCTGCTTTCAGCCTTCTTCCTGAAGTCTAGAGCTGCAGTTCCCAAACTGGGTGCCACTGTAAACTCAGGGGGTGCCATGGGATATTTTAAATCTTTGAGGGAAACACAGTGATACTCAACATCTGTTGGACCCCATGCGAATAGCCTAGTATGTATCCATCCATCCATCCATCCATCCATCCATCCATCCATCCATCCATCCATCCATCTATCTTATATAGCTGCCAGTCTCACATTCATGACTCCAGGCCATTTACAATTAAAGCACAGTATCACCGTATTTTGCTTGAAATTATAAAATATCTTATGGCACCCCTCTGAAATCGCTGTTTCTGTTATGCCCGTGTTTCCCAAACTTTGTGCTGTGGCATCCTGGGGCACAGTTTGGGAACTGTGCAGTGCTATGAAAGAATTACTGAGACAGTAAGGGTGCTGTGAGTGAGCCAGTTTGGTGTAGTGGTTAAGGAACCAGGCTAGAGACTGGGAGTCTGTGGGTTCTAGTCCTGCTTTAGGCACAAATCCAGCTGGGTGACTGTGGGCCAGTCACTCTCTCAGCCCTAGGAAGGAGGCAATGGCAAACCACTTCTGAAAAATCTTGCCAAGAAAA